GCATGGGAAAAGAGCTTGTTTAAAAATTGATTTACATAAAGCTTTTGACAGCATTAACAGAGAATTTGTCTACTATATAATGCACTGCATGGGTTTTCCAGTCAAATGGATCAATTGGATCAAGGAGTGCCTATCTAATGCAACTTTCTCTGTTCTTCTAAATGGCTCCTCAAATGGTTTTTTCAAGAGTAATAGGGGGATAAGGCAGGGAGACCCACTATCTCCTTATATACTTTTTTTAGTGATGGAATTCTGGACTATTGGTATGGAGCTGGCTACAACCTCTGGGGAAATTCAAAATTTTAAAATGAATAAGAATCTTCAAGTCTCCCATCTCTTGTTTGTTGATGACATGCTGGTTTTCTGTAGAGCAAATAAGAAATCTTTTGAAGGTTTAAACAATATGTTAAATTCGTTGCTTCTTCATACTGGACTGAGTATCAACCGAAGCAAAAGCAGGATATATTACAGCAAGGGTTGTGTTAACACAAATGTTCTAAGCTCTATTAATATCTAAAGGTACTCTGCCTATGAAATATTTGGGATTGCCCCTATCAATAAATTTTCCTAAAGCTAAGGATTTTATTTCCATAATTGATAAAGTCAGGCATAAGATTGAGGGTTGGATGACTCACTCTTTATCATTTGCGGGGAGGCTTGAGCTCATTAAATCAGTTCTGTATAGCACAATATCTTATTGGTTCTCTACTTATAAATTTCCTAACTCTGTTATTCACAGTTTGGAATCTATTTTTGCAAACTTTCTTTGGAAAGGTAAGATGCATGCTATTAAATGGAAAAATATCTGTAAACCAAAACAGGAAGGAGGATTTGGTCTCAGAAATCTAGAGGATCTTTGTCAGGCTGCAGGATTAAAGATGATTTGGCGTCTCCTCACAGTTAATTCTCTTTGGACAAATTGGATGAACATAAGGTATATCAAGGAAGTTAATTTCTGGAATACTTCTTCAAACTTATTGGATTCTGGCACTTGGAAACATCTTTTAGGTCTCAAAACCATAGCTCTGAATTGTATACGGAAATCTATTGGTAATGGGGAATCTACTTCCCTCTGGTTTGATCCTTGGATTCATGAGGGCAGAATTATTGACTTAATTCATCATATTTCTCCTCAGCTCACTGGCACTGAGCATTGGACAGTTTCTCACATTATTCAAAATTATCAATGGAATATTACGCTTCCTTGTCTTATGCCTCTGGTGAGTAAAATAACTGATATAAAAATTTCAGAACAAAGGGATCAATGGGTGTGGCTTCCTGAAGTTAATGGTAAGTTCTCCTTTGCATCAGCTTGGAATCAAGTTAGGACTCCATACAATAGTTTCGATCTGTTCAATGTGGTCTGGTTCTCTTTAGCTAACCCAAAAATGGCATGTTGTTTGATTAAAAGTTTATACAATAGATTGGCTACCAGAGACAGGCTTTCAAAGTTTGGAATTACAACAGTGGAAGATTGTGTCCTTTGCTCTGATGGAAAGGAATCTAGAAACCATCTATTCTTTCAATGCCCTTTTACAGCTTTTATTTGGAAATTATGTAAATTAAAATTGCAGATGGATCCGACTATTACTCAAGACCTTACAGATGAAGCTCTTCATATCCAACAAAAATTCAAGGTGAAGGATCGAACATACATTTTGGCAAGATTGGTATTAAGTGCTACTGTGTGGCATATCTGGCAAGAAAGAAATCGTAGGATCTTTCACAATCAACGGATGCATAAGGTTTTGGTGTTTAGAAGACTGTATGAGGATATAAATGTTCTGCTTCGAACCTGTAACTGGAAGGCGGGAAATGAAGAAGTTCTAGGTAATTGGAGTTTGGAGTCTGGAGTCTGAATAAAATGAGTTGAGTTAACAGTAACTCTTGCTGTCTTGAGTTTTTCTTGGTGTAAAGGAATTACTATTTTTCTTTTGTCTTGGTTTGAGGTAATACTAAAATTTCTTTAGTTTCTTTAGTTGAGGGTGACGGCCAGGGTCCTCTCCCCTCTCTATGGATCCTAAAGTTTGTTTCAGTGTTATCTTACCAAATTTTGTAAATATGTACTGAAATTATGATATTAATGAAATAACTTATCTTTCAAAAAAAAAAATGTGTATGTGTGTATATGATTGAGCTTGAAGTATTTAACACACATAATATAAAAACCAAAACTAATATACCAAGCAATGATCTTCATGACGCTCGATCTTGGTAACATGGATGAAGCTTGAACTTGGATCTTCAACTTGAATTGCATAGGCTTCACTCCACTATTCCGCCAACCTCCATTAGATTTGATCGTGAATGCTTAATTTCATCCATCCTCCAACATATTGTTTGCCTAGAATAAATACAAAACACAAACATTAGACAAATAACATTAGAAGTAAATTGTTTGTAAATCATCATCAAAACAAATGGACCCAACAAAAACAACTGGGAAAACTTTAGAGAAACGTCACAAAACATCATCTTTGGTGGAAAAACAATTTCCAAGATTTAAGAAGGAATTGCTAAAAACACATTAAAAATACCGAAAAAAGGATGGTTTTTAGGGATACACGAGTAATATTTTAACACAAGTATTTTCTTAATATGCTCAATTCGTAATTTTAAGTTTTGAAACAAAGTATGGATTTGTGATGAGGTAGATTTTCCCTTTCCTTTGATGTCGGAAACAAAGCAAAAAATAGCTTTCCCAAGAAACGCATGAAAAGCTCAAAAATGCATTTTTTCATTGGAATCCTATTCATGTATTGCATGGAAATGAACCAAATAGGCCTTTAAGCTAATATGGTTGTATTTCGCAAATATCAATGACCTAAAGGGTATACATACAAAACACCCGAATTAAGTATAGGAAGGACACATAACAATATATAAAGGGTTGAATTACTAGATTGGTATTTTTTTACACTCCTCTTACTAGCTTGGTACTTTTTTCCTAGCTCTGACGATATTTTGGTAGTTTTTCTGAGCCAACTATGCAATTACACCCTAAATATTGCTGACATCAAAGAAAATAAAATTGAAAACATAATGCGATGCTATTAATTCTATCTTATTCATGAGAAAATACAGGAAGATTATTTGGTATATTGGTATAAGGATAATAATTATGTCCAAGCTTATACAAGAATTTAAAATACTACAAGCAAGTAAATTTTGAGACAAAAAGGAAGGGTATGGTGTTACCTCAAATATAGTGCCAAGAAAGATTGGAAGCCAAACAATGCTGAGGAAAGAGGTTTCACGGTTTTTTTGCCGGTAGCGAAGTTGTGGATCTACTTGGACATTTAGGTCAAAATAAATACCAAAATGTTGTTGAAGCTAGGGAAAATGCGAAATTGTTGAGAGGGATCTATAAAAGTACCAATATGCTTATTTAGCCATATGTGAAACATTTAAACCATTTCACTAGTAAAGTACCAATTCTTCTTTAGGTCTATATGGTTCACTAAAAACTCTGGGAGTTGGAATAGAAAAACAATTCAAGAAATAAAAAGTGGTACTTTTTTCATAATAGGATTTCGAACACTTTGTTTGTTTTAAAACCATTTTTTAAGAAGAAGTTACAACAAAATGCAAAAAAAAGCCTTGTATTATACGGTATGTCTTTCCCTCGAGTCAATTACACTAAACCACATGAACTTTTAGCCTTTTGTAGTAAATCCCCAACAACTTTTATAATCAGCACCAAACCATCCAAGCACTTTTAAAATTCGACCTAAACCCCTATGAATTTTTAAAATCACACTAAATCCCTAATAGCAATTGCAGGAAACTCCCAATTTTATGACTGTCACATCAGACATCGCACGTGCAACCTACGTGAGTTTAAAAGACTAAACTACCCCTCGAATTATTAACAACCCTATTTATGACCTTTTAATATTTTCAACCCTAAAACAAAAATCTCTCTATTTTCATTAGTTTTCCTCTTACTTGAGCCCAAGTTTTGTTGCCAAACCTTTTTTTTTTTTTGGGTGTTTTCTTTTATGGCCTGCTTGGATGGAGGGTAGAGAGGGAGCAGGAAAGGGAAATTTTATTTTAATCTTGTTTGGGAGTTTCATTTAAGAGGGTAGAGGAGGCGAATGGATGGGAAATTTGGCCCAAATTATTACACCCCAAATTAGGGTGTAATGGAGGGGAAGGGAAGGAAGGAGAATTTTTTCCCTTCCTTCCCTTTCCTAAGTAAACTCCCAAACACACCATTACTGAAATCGCCTTTCAAATTGCCTTTGTATGTTGGTTTTTGGTCCCAGTTTATGAGGGTTATCAGAAAATGCAGAAACCTATTGGGGGGTTTTGTGTGACTTTGAAAGTTCGTGGGGGGGTTTTGTGTGATCTTTGAAAGTTCATGGGGGTTGTTGTTGATTTGAAAAGTTATTCTGTTATTGGGGGTTTACAGCAAAATGTTTAAAGTGTACAGAGGTTTAGTGTAATTTATCCCCCCCCCCAACCCCACCATCCTGGAGGTATACTCTTTTTACTTTCTGTTTCTGTTTTCTTCCCTTTGGGAAACGCCTTCGCCTCTTATATCCCTTTTCCTTGATGGAACTGATGCTCCTGAGGCGATCGGAAGCCCGTAGCCTTGTGCTTCCTTCTATTTCTAGAACAATGGGAAGTGTGAGAATCATTGAAAATACTGGGGTTAGGTTGTTGCCTAATTAGAGTTCAAAATCATAAATCAAATCTTCATTAAAATAGGAAAATTTATACAAGATTAGTAAGTCTTGATTTGAATTGTTTTTACGTTTCTGAATAATTAAGAATCACAGTGGAGTTAGGATTGGTAAGTTTAAATAGAATTAGGAGTTCGACATTGCGTATGATTATAGTAGCTTTATATATAGAGAGAGATACCTGATCAACCTTTGTAATTTCAATTTGCGCTGAAAGGGAAGATAGTTTGGAAATTCTATAACTTCTCTCTCTCTCTCTCTCTCTCTCTCTCTCTCAAATCCTAGTTCCCTTCATCAATATCAATATTGAGGATGCCGAAGAGACATTCAAGGGAAGAAGACAGGATAAGCTCCCTCCCTGACGAAATACTCCATCACATCTTCAATTTTCTTCTTGCAGCGTCAACCGTGAAAACAAGCTTTTTATCCCGAAGATGGCGACATGTGTGGTCGTCTTCCCCCAATCTCCACTTTGATGAATACTACTTCCCATTTTCATACAATGAGGAGTTCATGATCTTTGTGGAGCGAGTCCTCCTCTTCTCTGATGCCACGAACCTCAACTGTGTCTCAATCACCACCCGCGGGGGCTGTGACATGTTTCGAGTCCTTAGTTGGATATATACCATAATGAAGCGCAATGTCAGAGACCTTACTATCTATCATCAACAAAAGGAGCTGTTGAAGCTCCCACTCAAAATCTTCCATCTCCAATCACTGAAGCGACTGTCCGTCACAGTATTACATCACCAGATTCTGACCTGGCCTCACCCTCAACCTTCAGCTTCCACACTTGCAGCGCTTGAGGATCTGACTCTTTCTGGTTTCAAGTTTGTTAACACCGCAAGAGATTCCATCTCCTCATCTTGTCCGCACCTCAAGATTTGGAAGATGAAAAGATGCACTGACCTATATCAGCTCGACGTCAGAGCCCGCCAAAGGCAACGCCAACGCTTGGCCAAACAATTCGCCAAAGCAATGGAGTCCACCGACGGAATCCGCTACAACGCGGATCTGAAGAACGGGAGAGGCAAACAGCCTCAACGGCCGATGAATGGCGACTCCTCCAAGCCGCCAACGAACGAATGGGTCCGTGTCAAACGGAACCGTTCGACACTAGAGGAGCGCATTCGCAAACGCCGCGCACTATCAGGAAGCCCGTAGAAAGCTGCAAAAGGAGGTGGAGAAGAAGCCACCACCAACACGACAAGTCTGGAAGCCTAAGTCTGAAGTGGCGACTCAGGCCAAAAAGCAACCAGTGCAGCCTTCTAAGGAAGGTCAAACTCCGGCGAGTCAACCAAAGTCGCCGTCAATCCCAATAACTTCTCCGGGAGATCATGCAGAGTCATCCCGCAAGAAGAAATCAATTATGGAGCGCCTCGGTCCAATTCCTGACGAGAGAGGCAAAGCTCCAATTCACGAGCGTTTGGGCCCGATGAAGAAGCCCAGAACGACTCAACATACTGGGGGTCGCCATCACCTCCAGCATGACAAAGACCTCAAGGCAGCTGCGCGCACCAATTTGCGCATTGAAGTCCAAGAGCACGCCGAAAATTCACGCCCAAACAGGCATGTTTTGAGGCGGGTAACCTTTGAAAGCCCAAAGAAGGCAATCCAACCTCAGATGGAAACATTATCATCTGATAGTGATAGTGTTATACCTGAGAAGTCGTGCCCGCACACGATAGGTTACTCCGACTGTCAAAATGACGAGTTGTACTATCGTGCTGGGGGTACGAATAGAACCAGGAAGAGGATTCCCCCTAAACAGGAAACTCAATGCCCCTGTTCCAAACTCATTCGGGCGGTATTGTCTGAATGCAACTGCATTAAGGCAGTCCCCAAAAGAGTTTCAGTTTTCGAGAGACTTATTGCGGAGACGTCAAAATCAAGGCCTAGGCGTTCCCAACGAAGAAGAAGGATGGTTGAAGATGGAGAATTTCCGAGGGTCACCACCAAACATACTTTTACTGTTTCCATCAAATATGATAATGATTTATGACTATTAAGGATCTAAATCCACATTTATTTAGGTTAAAGGAAACTTTTGTATGTGTTGTGTATGCACATGTGTGAGCGTGCTTGCTTCATATGTATGCATTTCCTTCATATGTATGTACCTGTGTATGGTCTCTGTGCATATGGATATGTGCATGCTTCTTTATGAGTGTGTGTCTTTGTATGCATGCACGTATGTATCACACCCCTAACTATTACTAATTGGCCTTAGCTAATTAGTTGCTGACTTGATTGTGTTCAGACAAGTTTTTGACCCAGACATGTCCAATTAGACTAACATTATGATACTTAATTTGCAATGTAGAGTTGCATTAAGGATGACCCGCTACCTGATTCTTCGTATCGAAATCTTGAAGTTTTGCAACTTCTGGTAGAAACTTAGTAAAGCTTAGATTGATTTTTCAATTGAGTTCAAAGGGCATGTGTTCTAAATCAAAAGCATACAACGAATTTTATTGTTATTGCCATTGAGGTGAAAGTAGTCATAACAAACAAATTAACCCTACATTTAATCTGATGTTTAAAAAAGAAGTCTTGTAACTAAGAATTCGCCGTTACAAGTACTAAGTTGATGAAAAAATAAAATGCGGGGACCAAATTTGAGTTCATGAGGCACCGGTTACAGGCGGACCAAATTGCGGCTTTTTCACCTTTATTAATAAGGAGAAAAAGCCTTTCAACATATGTGCTTGAATTTCATTTGTGTCACTTTAAAATATTACTATTTCACTTTTTCAACCGAAACCAATCTGCTTTCTTACAGGTATATCAGTTTTTAGTTCCATTCATTTTATTCGTTTATACATTATGATGAAGAATTTCCTTTCTACTGTGCTAGGCCAGCTTAGAACCATGCCCAAGGGCCCTGGCGCCACTTTTGTCCCATGTGTCATAGTTGCATTCAGGCTTGGATATCTTATATTTTATGTAGGCTAAACTCTTGGATCACACGCGCACCACAAATCAATAGAAAGAGAGACAGATAAAGATAAACGGTGAAGAAGGTAAAATTTAAAAAAAAAGAATAAACCACGTAATTAATTTCTCTAGATCATAATATCTGATTACAATATCCTTCAAAATCTGTCCAAGCATTTCATATCGCTTGCAGAAGAGTTCCTTTAGCCGTTTTTCCTTCCTTTAAGCTCTAAATAAATTAACTCTTGGAGCAAATCTTTTTATCGCTAGATATTCAATATCAGGCAGACATAGTTGGACTTGATTTTACATCTTCAAAGTCAATCTGTATTGATAATTTGATGGCCTCCGGTGATGTTGCCTGCCTAGAAGCTCTGGTGGTTGCCCTTGACAAAACAACTTTGCAGCAGCGAGATCCGCGACATGAGATGCTTTTGTTAACGAGTTCTTCAGCAACCATAGCAGGAAAATGGCTGCAATGTCAGAATCCACTATTCGAAAGTGCCTATCGTCACCATTTTTAATTCTGGTGCTCAACTTAGTACTTGTACCGCATCTTAGTTACAGACTTAAGTCTTTTTTAAACATCAGTTAAATGTTAGGTGTTAATTTTTGTTTATGACTACTTTACCCTCAATGGCATAACAATAAAATTCCTTGTACTTTTGATTTAGAACACATCCTTTGAACTCATTGAAAATCAATCTAAGCTTACTAGTTAAGATCAGTTACAAAAGCTTAGCTTATATGGTTATACCTTCAAATGAGGAATAAACTCTACTGAACTCCAACTTAGAAACTTTATTGATGCTCAAAATTTATTCAATTGATATAATCAATTCATCACCTTATTCTTAAGATTCATTCAATAGATTATTCTGAAAGTATTTAGACTACACAACATGAAACCAAATGTCAATAATTGTTGGAAGTTTTGTGCAAAATTGTTAAATACTCCATGAAACCAAAGATTCTTTACTAACCTGTAGCAATCGAGTTAAATGTAAATGAGAATAGCTACTCTGAATTCAAACACAAAAAGATGAATATATAATTTTTCTAATCTCATTGTGTTAAAGATAACTTTGTTACCTGTCTATATATAAATAACCACTTTATTTTCTCAAAAAAAAA